TTCGGTTATATTCCAGAAAAACCATATCCGCGCAGTGATATCTATCGTATAAAAGTACCAGATGATAAAGTCAGGTGGGAAGTTGTCTGGCCGGAATATGGTCCACAAGACTTCACCAGCTTAGCAGCCACTGGCAAATCCTGGGCAGATTCAAATGATATCGAAGGTCGGAAATTCAGGTGGAATGATATTGATGGATTAGTCGATCGACGTTCTTATATGGGGTAACTTTTCATTAGTTGCATTGCATTTATAGATGTGTTACCTATGTATCCCACTTTTACAGTTATCCTGTTCGTCATCTTATAGGAGTATTAAGGCAATGTTAAATGCAGTGAGATGTGTGTTCCGAAAGACAAACCAAAAGACAAACCTTTCAACAAACCAAAAGGACATTGTCAAATGTTGGTGAGGACTCTATACTGAAAGGTGTTTGTGATATTTAACCATGAACATTCGAGAGGAGTAAGCAGCCAGGCCAAAATTCTAATTCGTTTTTTATTTTCTTTTTTATTAAATTTAGAAAATATAATTTGGACAAAACTGGGCGGCCACTTAATCCGGTAGGACGAACCGGATTACGAGGACGTGGAGTTCTGGGCAAATGGGGACCAAATCACGCAGCAGATCCAATCGTAAGTCGAATCCATCTTGGGCAATTACAGTTTGTTGGGATCGCCCGGCGAGATTCCGGTGAGTGGGCCATTCCAGGAGGTATGGTGGATGCTGGTGAGGATGTGCAGGAAACTTTGAAAAGGTAGGAACTATTAGTTTCATAGTATTATTTTTTAAGATGGACAAAGTTGCGAAACTTTAGGGAATTTACGGAGGAAGCTCTGGACGGCAAAAAGTATCCGGAATTGGATATGTTTTGGCGTAAAGGTGTGGAGCTATATCGTGGTTATGTGGATGATCCACGGAATACGGATAATGCATGGATGGAAACAGTTGTGGTTAATTTTCATGATAACGATGGCTACCTAAAAAATATCACCCTCAGAGTAAGGACTTTAAATGATTGATTTCGTAGTATGAGAAATAGTATCAGGAAAAATAGTTTCGGATTCCTATTGTGGCCAACTTTTGTTTATTGTTATTCTTACTCAATTTCAATTAAATTTGGGGTTATTTTACATAAAATGAGTGATGTAAATTTTCAGGCAGGAGATGATGCAATTAAATTGCGATGGATTACCGTTTCAGTAAATGAAAAATTGTATGCATCCCATGAGGACTTCATCAAATTACTTGCTGAGTATCATGGTGTATAAACCAAATTTTTTACCATTTTACTAATTTCTGTTAAATGTACAACAATAAACCTATTTGTAAACTAATGAAGTGTAAACGAAAAGTGTCATTATTATTTCTTGCGTTATTTTATCATTTCGTTTGTCTCCATTTGTAAGTTTATATAATGGTTACAGTTGATATTAACAGATGATGAGTTCCATATTTCTTGTGAGATCTAACAGTTGTTGTGATGTTAGTAACTTTGTAGCTCAAATGATCATATAAGAACTGGAGAAAAGCTGGGCTGAATTCTTTTGGGGGTTATCGTTGATACTTGAGAAAAAGAGAAAATGTTTAGTTTCATTGCACTAATTGGCAAGATGGATTGTGAGTTTAGTATTATCCGTAGAATGCTCGATAAAGACCTTCTCCACTCGGAAATGGGATGTACCGATAGTAGTGAGGTTGGTGGACCACTGATTTTCATTGTTCACTTTGATTTGCAAAGTGGCATTTTTATGCCCCCGCACCGATGTGTAGCGTACCGATATGTAATTAGATTAGTTGGTTGTGGTCTGGTTATTCTAGGGCTTTGTTGTTCCCTTTGTAGTTTTAGCGTGAGGTAATTCGGATGTAAATGTGGTATTCTGGAAAGATAGGTAACAAGAGATGACACGGCTGAAATGGTGCATCTTTCAGCCGGGTTGCTGTAATTTCAACTGAAGTCGAAAAAAACATGTCTTACAAAACCTAATTTCCTAAAACTTTGTTTCAAGGATTTAGGTAAACGTCAAGCGTTATTAACGATGAGTAGACGACCTGGACCACCTTCGATTGATGGCTTATATTCCCTCAAGGTATCTCTTAATTTGTTGTTTATTTGCTGAGAGGAGACGATAAATGACCACTGATTCATGCTTTTTATGAGCTTAACTGCTAAGCTTGAAATATTTTTCTGAAGCATATTAGGATATATTGGATATATTCTTTTGAGATATATTTGAGGCATAGTGTTAAACTATTAGATTTTATAATGATATGAGTCAGATTTACTATAGATAAAAGCATACTGTTCTTCTGATTTTTGCTATCTCATTACGATTCATATTTTTCGATCCGCTCACTTTAATTCTGCTATGTCATTTACGATAGTTGATTTTGCTTTGAAAGTTTTATGCTTATTTTTGTTAAGCTTATAAACTTGATTCCCACAATTGACTTGGTGCGGAGATGTAGTTTAACACAAATTTTCTCAAACTTCAGTTATATCTCTGGATAATGTACTTACAAGGCTATCTCCATTATATTTTGTGTCAATTTTCTTAACTGAATAAATGGTTAATTGCATAATTCTGTGACCTTTCACAGTTAAAACATATTCTATATGATGTTGTAGATTGATAACATATCATATCAAACGGCACCACAAGACTTACGTCGATTGTTCGAAAAATATGGCGAAATAGGTGATATCCACATTCCGCGTGATCGTTACACCAAGCAAAGTAAAGGATTTGGTTTCGTACGCTTTTATAGTCGACGAGATGCAGAATATGCGATGGATCGTATGGATGGACGATGGGTCGATGGCCGTGAGATCCGTGTTGCCATGGCACGTTATGAACGACCAATCGATGAACGTAGCCGTAATGGTGGTAGTAGTGGTTACAGAAGCAGTCGACGGTTAGTGATTTTGCGCTTACATATAGGATACTTGAAGTTTAGCAATCACCAATAAGGAGAGATGTCGTAGTTAAGTTACACCAACAAGTAGATGGATGTTTACTTACATTTAATTTTTTTAATCCGAAGCTTAAGGCAATTTGTGATTTTTGATGTAAAATCATCAGAGTGAATGACCGTTGTTATTGCATCATCCCTTACAAAGTTGGTTCTCATTTTTTGCAAAAACTTTAAAAGTAATAAATTTGTAATTTTGAGGCGGCCGTGGTTTGCTGCTGCTGCTGTTGCTGCTGCTGCTAATCACCGAGATACAGTGTAGCTGCTGCTAGCTGAATTAAAAAATGCATCAAGTAAAACGGCCGCATCTCAGGGGAAAATTGGCTGGCTGAGCTGCTGTTCCATGTAGCAGTTGAATGCTGCTGTTGTTGTTGTTGTTGTTGTTGTTCTTGTCGTTGTTGTTGTTGTTGGGCAGCATAGCTGTGTTTCCGGCTTGGCCTGAACCAAAAAAGGGAGAATGAGAGAGAGATTCCGGTTACAGAACAGAGATTAATTACATGCTGATTGCTGATTCTGTGTTGCATTTGATGGTCAGTCAGTTTTTTCGTACAAAATCGTTTTTGTACTTTTTTTAAGATATGATTCCAAATTCCTGTGTGGTAGTAGCTATGAATTGACGGCCTGCCACATAATACTTATCTTTTCGGGGATGGAGTTTTTTTTTTTTTAGTTTGATTCACTTTAATTGATTAGAAATTGTCTGAGTATTAAGATGTACTTTGCTTACGTGTAGAAGGATGGATGGAAAGATCAGTAGTTTCGTAGAACTTCTGGGGATGCCTTTTATCGTCAAATAGTGTAATGAAAGTTACTTGGCGTCTTGCAAGCAATCAAGTTTGGGAAGGAATAAAATATGTTTCTTGATCAAGCTAAAATAAAATAAAGTATACAGGGACAGAACGGTGTGAATTGGTCCTTAAATCATTAATCATCATGAAGATACAAATTTACTAGGATTGATCACACTGATCAACTAATGATGAACTTATTTAATAGTTTTAGTAGATTGCGCGAGCTTATTTCACAAGTGATTTTGTAATACATGATTTTGTAATACATTTATCAGTGAAATTAGTTCACATTCCCATTATTCATATTTGCTGATCTTTCCGAAAAGTAACGTTTTCAGTTCGCGATCGCGTTCACGTTCACGTTCACCACGACGTCGACGTTCCTCAACACGAAGCCGTAGTGGCTCACGATACAATGAAAGACGTTCGACTTCCCGTGGTCGAAGTGTTTCACACGACAGGTCTCCAGTATCTCGAAGGTCTGCAAACTCGAGTAGCCCACCAGCCAGGAATGTTTCCCGAAGTCCTCCACCTCGCGATTCTCGCAGTCCTGTGACGCGTGATCGAGACAGACCTGATGATGCATCAAATGGAAATGATACTAATTACTGATTCGTTTATGTTTTGGCTTTGAGCAAGACATTACTCTAATGAAATTGTGTTTTAAGACATTTTACTTTAGTTTAACATATTTGCTTCGCTTTCTAAGAAGTATAAATGTCTCTACAGAAATATTAATTGTAGGGATGCAACAGATATTGCGTTGCATAAATCGGTATTAAAGTAGACCTGCTAGACCATTTCATCGATGAACGGATTTTAGGTTATATGAGATGATGCTGGAAAATGCATTAACTAAACTGTTGCGAGATGTTACAGTGAGGAAAACGAAGATTTTTTTATCTAAGATTCATTTGTATACTAAGCATTAATTTGTTGTTCCAAATTTTTGATTTTCAAAATTTCCTTTTTTCAACTCTTGGCTCTTTGTGTTATGCATATCTTGCTGTGGTTAATTAATGAATATTGTTTAAGTCGTTTCATGACGTATAAAATTAAGTTCAAGACATAGTTGCTTCTGGATTCTACATTAGTGGAGATTTGCATAGCAAAAAGTTCATGGCTTAACATCATTCGTGGATTGCACTGTGATCTTTAATCTTGTTACATTGTTTATAGTTGAAGTTCTAAATTGATTCTTGAATTTATTCAAATTTATCGCATAAACTTACCTCCTTAATACTATGTTCCATCACTTATTTGCATGTGGTTTCATTTGCAGAATCTTTTTAGTCTAAAATAGAAGAGCAACAACTCTAAACTAAAATGGATGAGTGGTAATTATCAGAAATGGAAGAGACGTACATTTATTTATCATTCTTTTAAAAATCTTGATAGAAAGCATCCTCTGCAGCATTGAGGAACTCATATATCTCTTTCTACGTGACATGATTTACTTGGTATACCTCTGTTCCGGTGTACCCATTATGCGGTTTGTTATCTTTGGTAAATACTTTTTAAGGAATATGGTCTTCGCTCTCTCAGAGTGTATATCAATTTTAGTATGTTACAAGTAACTAAGCGATCAGAAATGACGAAGGATTATATAATTCTGTTGAATTGAAGGAAAAAGAAATGATCGTTGAGTCATATGAGTTAATGAGTTAATGACCTTTGCGGAGCACAACGATTTTCCAGTAAGCATAGTTTGCATCAATACCGCATTGATTACGTGATTTAATTAATAACGGAAATTAAAAAGTGATATTGGAAAAGAAGCAATAAAAATGTCATATTAGATGTTTATATTGCAGCAGTCAAATATCTCATTCGAAACATTCAGATTTTGGAACCGGACCGGTTATAGAAACCAATTAAAGATACCATGATAATTATTCGGATGATCTTTATTTTTGATATGATAGTAAAGCGATCATTCCGACAATATTAATGACAGCGGTTATTAAACTTTTTCTCTTCTTTTTTTTTTGCCTAATGTATTTGGTAGTTAAGCTATTAGTATTTACTTCAGTTTAAAAAGGGGAAAAAAAATTCTTTTTTTTTGATGTATTTTATTAGAAAAGACATCTACTCTATGTTGGATATAATTAAAGGATTAAATTATTGATGATAATAACTTTATAACATAATTCATAAATGAAATATTATAATGGAATAAAAAGCACAGTAAATAGATAATCTATAAACGGAAACGATAAATGGATAAAAGGATTTTTTTCTAGGTATGGCATATACGATATATGGTGATAAAAGAAATGATAAAGAATTATCAGATAAATACATCCAGAAGTTGTGGATCACTATCTGTTTCCCAATCGATCGTTCTATATGATACCTAAAATATAAACAAACTATACTTGAATATTCAAATTAATGGTCATAAAGATCATTAATTTATTCTTAGAGATTATTTTCTGTCGATTGTTAATTAACATAATTTTAACTGTTGTTTGAGAAAAAAATAAATTGTTGCGATTTTTTCTTTTCATTTTTTCATAATTCAGTTATGGCCTATATAAAACAGATTAATTTGATAGCTAGAAATACAAATTAAAATCATTTATATGAAACAAGCTAATTAGTAGTTAGGAATTTAATTCAAAATGTCCTATATAAAACAGAGACTGATTGATAGAAACCTAAGCTCGGTGTATGCTCAAATTATTATTTTAGCACTGAATCATAGCATATTGATGAAAATTTATCAGTCTAAAAGAATTTGAGAGTAAAAAACTCTAAAGTAATTTGAATATATTTAGATATCAAAGCTTCAAACCAATTCAGCTGGTTTAGTTGGTTCGCATGGCCGACAAATATTACGCGCAAATAATTTGTCAACAGTGCATTGACAATTGAAACAATAACTTTCGTGTTTGGGAGTTACTTTGGATGCTGCTATCATGAATCCATGTTTCTAAAATATATCAAAATTATATACGACATTTCTAAATTTTATTATATCCTCATTATGATAATGATTTTTAAAGACTTTGCTTGAAATTTTATTGGGCTAAGCTAAGTGATAATCCGGATAGAAATAGAAATAGGAAATGAATCTCAAAAAAAAGCAACTAAAGACTTAAAGTTCAATGACTGTAAAAAAAGCGGTAGCTATTCAGGTAATAATTTGATGAATGTATCAAAGAATGTGGAAATGATCAGTATTGCAGTTTATGATCAATATAATAAGTAAGTGTTACTGCAAAAGAGAATCTTATACTGAAAACAAAAAATTGTGCTTACTAGAAGCTATTCACTGATGCTAAAACTTTCCAAACATTTTATGAGAATTAAAAATGATATGATAACTTTCAATAAAAGTACTATGATACTTACAAGAGAGAAAACGGTTCCGAAGGTTTGTTGAGCTACAACGGAACAACTATCATGTGGATGTAACAAGGATGTACGTTGTCCAATTTGCGCTCCATATTCATCCAGTAATTGTTTTGCATCCATCCCTTTGATAATCATTTATTATTATTATCATTAATTAATTATTATTGTCATAAGCTGTAAAAGATTTCCATCTTGAAGTAATAGAACTTTTCCCTTCGCAATGTAAACTAAAAGTAAATTTGAATTTTATCCATTTAAACTTTGACATTTCATGTCAAAATTTTAATTGATCTAATTTTATCCAGACTCTCATTAATTGATTTTTCCTCATTAACTGCGAGAAAATGCTCTCTTAATGGCAGATTATAGAACCGAAAAAAAAAACAATTATGCATATATTTGCCGATTCCTAAAAATTAATATTTAATCTTTCATTTCAAATTTATTTCGTTCCTATTCTTCAGTTTGTAAATAATTTGTAAATGAATAATTCAGAGCAATTAATTTAGAAAGAATATTTGTTAACTTACCAACAACTTTACTTCCATCACTTGTCTTAAATTTACTTAATGTTAATAGATGCATTGTGATATCCTGAAATGAATGGTAGCATTTACTATCAATTTTTTATTTTACAATAGTTAAAATTTACCATCAGCTATTTTACAATAATTCTGCGACATTTTGCAATTCAAAAAAAAAGACAACTTCAATAGCCGTCCCTATAAATAAGGCAGTAGAAAATTGTAATGAATAATTGATCGATCATTTCTATCAATTGAATAATTTTCCTCTCTTATTAACTTTGATACGATCATCGATCAAAGATTGTAAAAACTGTGAAATTTAAAGGAACAAAAACTAAAAGAAACCACAAAAATATCGTATATGTTCTAAAAAAAATGAAAATTTAAATTTATTACTTGCTCCAGTAACATATCAAGCATTTCCACATGTCCGCGCGGCAAACACTTCCGGCACATAACCAGAACAATACTCTTAGCAGTTGCAAACCTAAATTTTTAAAGAAAATAATAATTTGTTAAAAATGATAAAATGATAATTTGTATCATTCTTGTTTGCTGATTTAATTCCTGAAGTAGAAAATCTGGCATAACTTAACTGAACGGAAAATGTTTCACTGTAAATTCCACCGCTTTTTTAGGACAACTATGTGGTAGTTCAATTCCGGAAACTGGTTCAAAAGTTTGTTGTGTTTGTTTCGTGAATGTTGAAATATCCAGTAATGCTTGATCCTGTTCATAATGTACAAGTGGTTCATGATGTACTCCTTCACCGCCGAAACCAACCCAACCAAAAAGTACTGATCTAAAACTCTCAGTGATTTTATTCAATTGATGTCAAGCATTTGGCTTAAACTTTGAAATTAATTAGGAAATTTTAATAGAATTATAATTAGGGGTGTTATTTATTATCGAAATTTAAAATTCGTACAGAATAGCCCAAGACAGAATTTAGAGAAAAGAAATTCAAATTTTTATAATTCAGATATAAATTTATAAAAACAGTTGCGCGCAACCATTATCCAACGGGCAATTTCCGCATCGATAAATGATATTTGCAGTTTTAGTAACAGGTGGGTTAAATTACTTGCAATTTTATTAATAGAAAGGTAGATCTAATTATGAATTCAATTATTATTAAAATATTTACATACCGTTGTTCTCGGCTAATTTGTTGTGCTATTCGTGCTATTTTATCCTTATGATGATCCATACATTTCCTTTCTTCAACAACAAATACGACATCATGCTCGATGACAGATTTTTCAATCTTTCTTTCATCATCCAAATGTATATCACCATCACATTTCACTATAACAAGTTAGAATACTTGAAGGACGAATAGGAATAAGTTAGAGTATCTGAAGAACGATTAGGAATAAGTTAAAGTATCTGAAGAACAGATACGAATAAGTTAAGATAACTAAAGAAAGAATATGAATAAATTAAAGTATCTGAGAAACGGATACAAAGAAGTATATGAGTTAAAGTATCGAACAAAGAATAACTCTTACCACATTCATGCGGTAATGTCGTAATGATTCCTGCATTTGAACATATTTGAAGATATGCTGCAGTAGCCGTACAATGTTGTTGTTTTCCGCCATTAGAACAAATTTGTTCAAATGGTTTTGAACGTATCTTAATTTAAAAATGACAATATAAAAGGGAAGATAACAAATATTTGTAAATAATTTGTTAAGATTTGCAAGTAATTCGTTAGGATAACAAATATTCGAAAGTATTTTGTTAAAATATAAGTAAATTGTTAAGGTCCATAAGTAATTCGTTAGGACAACAAATATTCATAACTAATTTTAGATAACAAATATTCCTATTAATTAAATAACTTGAATATTTATTTTATAAATTCATTTGCAAAAAAAAGAAAATCTTCATAAATTTTAATTGAAATTTAAAAAAAAATTAACTTGACTAAAGCAGAGTCGTAATGGACTATCAGAACTTTGAAAATATTCCTGACAATGATCATCATCACGATACATCAAATCACGAGCTTGATTTACATGACATCCATCATTTATTGCCCAATGCTCAGCTAATACATTTAGCTATAAGTATATCATTATTGCTTTTCTTTGTTTTTTTTTTTTTTTTCACCCTTCTCGCATCAAATTTGGATCGAGATATTTCTTTATTGTAGAAATTAAAACGAAATTATGGTTATCAAAGGTACGCGAGAAATTTTATATAAATAATAAAATTAAATGTATTTAGTATTTGTTAATCAATTATCAGAAAACTTCAGACTAGAATTTGAACTGAGATATTTCATTTATTAAAAAATTCCATATTAGAATTTGAACCGAATTATATTATTATTCAAAAAACTTTACAGTAAAATTTGGACCAAGATATATCATTAGATGTACACTATCGAATGCATTATGATTATTGACAAAATGTCTCATGAATTGTCAACATTTAATTTTCAAATTAAATTTCCATAGAAATTTAAAATAGTTAGTCAAAAAAAGCTTAATTATACAAATTTCTATGTTTTATTGATTAAAAGAAAATGTTTGATATTAAAGATAATTAAGTTTTATTCTACCTGATCATTAAATGTACCATCAATTAAATCATGATCATTTGATGGTTCATTATCATTTACACCTAGAAGACCATTACTACGTCCATGCATTCGTTCTGATAAAATAATTTCACAAATATCATAATGGCTATTACATCGTACACATAAACCATCATATGTTTTTAATATTGTCCATTGATCCTTTCGAGAAATTGAAATTAAAATAGCTCCATCAATACTGTCTATCTTTTGCCATGGCATTGATATTGAAGCACCATTTACTTGTACCTGAACTTAAATCCATTTAATTTCTCAAAATATAAGTCCTAAAATAAATAATTAAAATTCTAGGAAACAATAAAATTCACCTAGTTGATTGAATTATTAATTTAAATAAAAAAATAAAAAAAGAAGATATGAAATATTAAATTATCCCGAAATATGCCTGAAATAGTGACTAAAATATTTCGGCCTATTTCAGTTTAATGTGTGAGTTTATGTTCAATACTTCTCGACGGAAGTCATAATGTTTTCCGGTTTAAAAGTAATTTAGGGATCGGTGAAAAATTGATTATAATTAATGAGCAAATAATTAAAAATAAATTAAAGTAAACAATTAAAGCAAATTATTAAAGTAACTTATTGAAACAAATAGCTAAAAATAAAATAAATAAAAGCAAATAATTGAAAACAAAGCAAATTAAAAATAAATAAATAAATATAATTAAAAATTACATTGCCAGTTTTGTGCAAAAGTATTTCTTCTCCACGTAATTCAACTTTAATAGTTTGCAAATATCCTTGTGATGAAAATATCGCAAGTAATGCGAAACGTTGGGTACGTAAATCTGACGCAAGAAGATATTCGCAACGAGCATGAAATGCGAATACTTTCCCATCAAATGATACGAAACGATTACCATTGATTATGTAAGCAATACCTTAAATTCAAAAGAATAAAAAGTTTCATTTTTTTTTTTACTTTCATTATCATTCTGTTCGTTTGATAATATCAATGAATTTAAAAAAAAAATTAACTTTTGACTTTTCTTTTACTAACTTTTCTCCTAATAAAGTTAACTTTCCTTTTTTTTAAAAAAAAACTTTTTTTGTAAAAAATTATCAATTAATGAACATTACTTTCATATTACGATAGCAACAATTTAACATACTTTTATATCGCGGTATCAATTTCCAGGAATCAAATTTCATTGATTTATAGGTATAAATTGTATCCGTTAAAGACTGTGCAAATTCCTGAAAATAATGCAAAATGTATGATAAAATAAGAAAAGTTGTAATTTTAATAAATAAAATCAGAAAATGATTACCTGATCTTTAAGTGATAATCCCAATGATTCAATCATTGCTGATTTAAGAGCCAAAAAATGTTGCGGATGAAGGATACTTAAAATTTCAGCTAATGAAGAAGCACCGTATGGCACGGTTACTTGCATTTCATATTCACCAGGTGATAAACGCTGAAATCATAAGATAAAATAGCATGGAAATGTTGAATTTAACAAATGCTATTAATTTAAATTTGTCAAAATCTTTTCTAGCACAATCAAAATTTTACTTCACACATAGTTTTTTTCTTTTTTTTTTTTTGCATTATAAAATTAATTGTCATACAAATAAACATAACAAACCTTATATATTGGTAAATATTGTCGCCAAAAGCGTTTAGCTATTTCGTTAGCTGTTATTTTTCCTCTAAAATAATCAACAATTCCTTGCCAATTTTGTCGAATTTGTATATCATCCAAAGAATCAAAAATGGCATTTGTCACTTTGCTAAGCACTGATACAATCATCTTATCGAGGAAGAAGTTTCTAATCTGTAAATACATCAAATAAGAAATTTTTAATTTGAAACTATACCAAATTAGGAAATTTCCAATCGGAAAAAACATATTAAATATGAATTTTTTAATGTGAAAATATACCAAATAAGAAATTTTCAGTCTGAAATCATATCGAATAAGAAATTTTTGATTTGAAAATCTATTAAATAAAAGAATTTTCAATCTGAAAATATATCAAGTAAGAAAGAAATTATTGGTGTGAAGAAATTTGCATTTGATAGTTTCAAATCTGATCATTTTTGATAAAATCTTCAATGAATACCCTTAATGACTTCATATGGTGTAAATAAATGGAATTATACTCAAAAATGAATAAAAAGTGAATTAAAAATGAATAAAAAAGATTATTCATTTAGGAAGAAAGTATTTATTAAAAAAGAATTATTATTGATTAGAAAATAATTATTATTAACTGTTCAGTAAAAGTATAATCAGTAGATGTGTTTACATGATGTTAATTTTAATGTGGAACTTTTATCCAGTGTGCATGACAAGAAATCTCATTCCATAGGAACACATTGATAAATAAATAAATAAACAAATGAATAAACAAATAAATAAATAATAATAACTAACTTTATTATAGGCTTTAATTGCTTCATCTTCATAACGTTTGCGATTCATTTCAATTTCAACTATAGCTCTTTCTAATTCCGGTAATTGATATTGATGAGTTAATTTCCGTATTTCATAAAGTAAGGTTTGTATAATATCAGTTCGTTCGAAATTCTCCCTGTATTCTTGCAGTGCTCCTGTATAAATAAATTCCTTTTATAATACCAAATCCGACAAGTGAAAATATCGGAAATTCCGGTTCACAATCCGGCATCCTATACAGCATGCATTTGTGCTTTATCGAATAGTTACTTATGAGCAATTAATAAAACTTTATTCTAAACATTAAAATGAAATAATAAAAATACAAGAAAATATTACTTCGTAGATCTTTTAGTTTCAGCGTTTCTTCTAAACGTTCAATAATCATTGCAGCATTTTGTTGCAAATTATCCAACTTAAATTAGCTTATCAATCGTTAGCTTATCAAGTGATTATTAATTCGATAATAGTAAAAAATTGAATATTACGAAGGAAAAATTAGAAAAATGTTTGGATTATGGAAATTAATTGTAATTTCTTCGCTTCAACATAAGCTTGCATATCAAATATACTCAAGACTCGGGAATTTATGCACTCATCATTTATGAAAGTGATGATATCATCGCATAATATAAAATAGATTAAAAACCTCTTTGTATAATTGATCAATTAAATCCGAAATTGGTCTTAAAGCAATCATAATTTCGTGTCGTATATCATTACCACCATCTATCAATTGTCGCAATTGATAAATAAAATCACTCTTTGAGATAGTTTTGACAAATTGTTCCGTTTCCTAAAATTTTTAGTTAAATTAAAATTTTTCATCAAACAACACAAGACTTTTTTTTTAAAAAAAAATAGAAATTTAAAAATCATTCGATGGATTTTTAATTTATTTTATAAAAAATCTTTTTTGATATTTTATTATGGAATTAAAAAAATATGACAAAACCTGATAAGCTTGGTCATAAGTAACAAGGATTGCTTCTTTAATTATTTCATAATTACTCTCAATTTCATCCATTAAATCCGTATATTCTGAGCCAAGTTCACTAGCAAAACTTCTATGAAATAAAATCTTTTCACAAATTTTATTGATAACAAGTTGAAGTAAATAAAATTTTGACAATTCATAAAAAATTTCTATGAAAATCAATAATACATTTTTCAGCATTATTCATTTTTAACTTTGGAAAAGTTTTGATAACAAGTGACAATCTTATCTTCTTCATTTCTACCTAAGACTATAATATTATGATGTATTTGAACTTTGAACTCTAAATAAATGAAAATCTGTACTACATAGCTATATCATACCAATCATGTCTTCGTTCTATCTAACATTACTTTTTCTATTTAACTTCTTTGATTCTACCTAACATTTGAACTTTGAACTCCAAATGTGATACATTTGAACTTTGAACTTTAAATAAATGTAAATCTATATACTGTAACTCTATGCTATACTAATTATGCCTTCCTCATTCTACCTAACATTACATTATTACGAGACATTTGAACTTTGAACTTCAAATAAATGAGAATCTATACTATACTGCTATACTTTACCAAACATGTCTTCTTCGTTCTATCTAATATTACTTCGTCTACCTAACTTCTTTCATTCCATCTAACATTAAATTACTGCAATACATTTGAACTTTGAACTCTAGCATCGACGATAATGATAATTTTATTTACTTTAACAATGTAAACTTATTTAAATAAAAACAAATAGTGTGTTTTTTTTAAAAAAGAAATTTATTTTAACCTTTGTTCTACAGTCCATTCTTTGATCGCTCCATCAAGTGTTCGCATAATATCATTAGCAATTTGATTATGTGATGAAAATAATGGTAGAATAGCATCACGTATAAATGAATGTTGTTGAAATTGATCAGTTTTTGAGAACCTTTCTTTAACATTCATCTAAAGAAAAATTCCTTTAAACAATTATTATAACTTTTTAAAATTTAATTTAAATTTAATACTTTAGAAATTATAAAATGAAAAGAATTATTATGCTTTACCATTATTTCAGTTTCGATTGTTGGTCGAAGATAAATTTTACTCTTCCATACATTTCCTTCTTTCATCTATAAAACGTTAATGATACATAAATTCTAGTGTTAAATTAATCTTTGGTTAAAAAATAAAAACTTTTTTTCGATTTCCAAATTAAACTTAAATTTTCTTAAAATTAAGCAAAGATTAATTGATTAATTAGAAATGATTTAAGTTATATATAACAAGATTTCGACAAACATTTTGCATTAGCAATTTATAGATAATAGCATGAATAGCAACAAAATATTTCCAATATTATAAATTCATTTGAAACACGTATGTTACGTGTACATCACGTGTTTTAAGTGAAGTAAAATTGTGATCAAAAGTTCTTTTTTTTTACTTGTAATGATAGACGAGCATCTTGTATTTTCTTGCCTGCTTCACTATGCCATATATCAATCTTTCCATGATAATCATTAAGTTTTTGAGCTGAAGTATGTAGTTTAATTTCTTGTGATCTTTGATCACGGTATTCAAAAATCACTCCATTTTCATGCATTTTCAATTCACCAACAATAGATGGTTGTTCACTGTTCTGAAAGTTTCTATTTTATAGTCTATAAAATAGTATGAATTATCACGCTATTCAATACGATAAAAATCAATTAATTAATTAATTATTATGAGTTAGTTTGACAAAATCAAACACAGGATATTTCATTAGAAAAATGATTTTAGTTTTATAGTTTTGAAATTCTAGTTAAATAGTCATAAACAAAGCAGAAATAAAAGAAAATTTAAAAGTTTCCTAAATAATTGTTAAAATTTACTTAATTGATTAAGAAGAAAAGTAAATTATAGGATTTATCAGTTGTGAACAAATAAATACTTACAGTTTAATTAACTTTCTTAATTAAGTTACTTGATAATGATTGTATTTTGTAAATCCTGAAGTACTACCAAACAATGCAATATAAATGATGGCATACGTATTAGAGAAAGAAAATAACTATACCCTATAAAATCCAACATTATAATGATTATCACTGATTTTATCAATTCTTCCTTTCAACATTAAATTCGGTGATTTCAATTGAATTTCCATAAATTTGACCGCATCCGTTTTTGTTTCAAGCGAATATTCTGCCGATTGATGGTTCAAATTTTTGGTTTCCAAACCGAACGTTACATGAACAGGAATCATAGCTTGTCCGGTTATTTTTCGATCAATTTTACTCCATAAACGAGTATTGAGATTGCTGATAAAGAGAAAAAGAAAAAAATAGAAATTAAGTCTAACAAATATTAGAATTGACAGTTTATAAACTTAGAATTGCATTTTAAACGAATAAATAAATTTTACCGCAAAAAAATTCTTAAAATCAAGAAATTTTGAGTGAAGTATAGTTTTAAAGTTAAGAGAATACTTTCCTTTCGTAGTAATAGTAAAACAAATGAAAAGGAAATGAACCTAATTATATTGAAAATGAAACAGTTACTAATTAGTTGTAATTAATTTCCATTATTTAGTAGACTTTATTAATGCATTGCTTATTGAAAAAACTTAACATTTTGTCATGCATATGAAATTTGATGATTAAATTTATATGTATATATATATATATAAATTGAAAAAAAAAGGCAGTATTAAATTTGACAAATAGGCTCTTATCTTTTAAACAAATATATATGATAATGATTGAGGAATGAATGATAAAGGAAAAATTTGATTAAAAATAATTTTAATTTTATAATTTCTTTTACTTTTACTTTTAATTTTGTAACATTTTTGTTTTTAAAAAAAATCAAATAAGTTTTGCTAAAACTGCAATTCACTAAATTCCTTTTAATATGATTCCCAGTTTGATAGAATGATAATTAATTAGTAAATTGAATGATAATACTTATTAATTATTCGATAAAATGATAAAAGTGGAAAGCACTCGTGAATTCTAGCTAAAACGGATCAAATCATTGTTAATTCAACATTTATTCTCCAATTCTAAGCAAAGATTTTAGGTGAGACTTTTTTGAAAAGATTTTGAGAAGAATTAGGAGCGTTTTCCTCCTTTTTATTTACCAAAAAAAAGAAAAAACAATATTATATTAAATGTTATGGTTATTTACCTTGCCGGATGGCTACTTTTCAGTTCAATAACAAACCGGACATTATCATCAGATCTTTCAGCTCTTCTTGTGATTATTCGTTTCTTACGTTCTGATAACACAATACTTCGATGTAAATGCAATGAATTGGAAAATAATTTATCCGATTGATCACTATAGATAAACTGTAATTGATTAATTTACCATTTCAGTTTTGGTATTTATTAAAATTCATACATTTGATATATCAGCATTTTTATCAAAATATATCTCAAATTTATCATTTATCAGAATTTGAACTATTAATCATTCCACAATTTTATCTCTAATTTCTAACGTACTAATAATAAAATTTTGCATACTTCTGTTTGTAGATCTAATCGATAATTATATTTATCTCGTTCATCTTTTTTGTAAATTATTTTTGCTTTAAGCGGTGTTTGCAATGCTTGATCCGAAATGCTTCCTTCCCAATGATAACCATCAGACGTCTTTTGATATGTCATTTCAGCTACGGTTGGACGTCTTCCTCCACCAACATTTGGTCTTTAATATTTATTATTGTTTTTTTTACTTAGAAAATTTAAAAATTTTCTTAAAATTAAATCAAATTTAAGATTTTTGTCCAAGAATACTTTTACATACTGTATTGATAAGGCATATTTATTTCGAGCTGGTCGAAGTATTGCAATATTAATCGCCCTCTTCGGTTGTTTTATGGTTAGTCGTAAAGCACGGAATGTTTCACCTTCACCCTCAATTTCATTTTCAACACCATAGGTCTGAAAAAAAAATGAAATTATTAGTACCGATCTGTTTAGTCAGTGATAAGAAATCTAACATAGCTTCTCACAATTAATTATTTTTAAATTTACTCACCCTTTTTTGCCCAAGAGGATCTAGCGTTAGTTCGGCAATTGATTTTTGCTTATCACCAGTTAAGCTATTTTCCAAATGTAACTCAAATGCTTCCGGTATTTCCGTTATCTGAATGAGAAATATACTGAGGAAAGAACTATAATGAGTGATAAAAAGATAATGAATGATAATAAGAAAATGAATAAGAATAATAAAATTTTCGTTTTTTAATCAACCAAAAGAAAAAAAAAATCGTAGCAAAATAAAAATGGATGATCTCTTGGAGAAGTTTATGATTTTTCCATTTTTGATCACAAAAAATAAACATTACTCTTCCTTAAGTTGATTATTTCCAGGTAATTTGGTTAGGTAAGTAGTGACATAATCAATTTACCTGTATCTTCAACAATTTATCATAATCATCAGTTTTAACATGAGCATATACTCTTCCTCCATTTCCACCTTCAGTATGAATCTCAAATTCAGCAGGTCCTTTCCTTGTTACTCTGACCTGAAGAAATGCGAAAACAAATCATATGTACAAGATATTATTAAATTTTACAATTTCAGAAATTTATTGAATTCAAGTTTCAAGTTTTAAATTTTTTTTTTCACAATAACAGAAACGAAAAAAAAAAACGTGAAGCGACATAATATTTCAAATATACTATCAAGACTTTGTTATCTGCTGATCGAATGAAGATCGGAAATTAAAAAAAATTTCATTTTTCAAGGTAAACTTGTTAGCCATTATATATGCAATCAATCAAAGTAACAATATTAACCTAACAATTAAATTCTCATCAGTTTAATTCATTTTCAAAAAATCGATATAGCGATTATTACATATTTCATGAGCTGAGAAATCAAGCAACAGAATCTTTGGGTACTCCTAATACTAGTTATATTTCATAATTACTAGCAAACAAGAAATTAAAAAAGAAAAAAAAACTCTGAGAAAGGTAAAAAAGAATGTTTATAATTTTTTAAAATTTAAATTTATGAGAAACCTACTTGTGGATTGATTACAAGCGTTGGTGTTTGCAAACCAAAAATTTTGTGTCCTATAATCAGAATTCTGTCATTTTGATATTTTGAAAATGTTACCAATGAATCTTAGTATTAACAAAAAAAAAAAAAAAAAGGAAGACAATTTCATTTTGAGTGACTTTTCTTAAAAAAAAAAAAAAAAATTCCAAAAAAATGTAGCAAAGATGACAATTGATCTTCAGTAATTAAAAAATACCTGAACAATAAGTGTGGCTGAA